CCCTCTCTCAAGAGGGAGTATCTGCTCTATTTCTACTACTGAAAAGAATTTTATACAGGGTAAGTAGTTAATGCTTTTTACAAAAGTTGAAATTTATTGCAAGTGACAATATGATGATAATCTCAGTTCTGAGAGCATTTGAATGAACAGTACTTCTGTAATACAGCTTTATCTTACTTGCACTTCAGCATCACATGAGCAAGAAATGTGTTGGCAGCCTATTACAGAATGTAGATAAACTTGTAACTTTTAGATAAACTGCAGTTCACTTGTGCATGTATTTATATATTGTAAGCATAAACATTGTGCAGCTGAAAGATGAACCCAACTCTGAAAATATTTTTACAGTAGGGAAATAGAAATGATAAGCAAACCTATTAAACTCGGTCCTGTTTCTGCATACCTAAATGTACTTTGTTCAGATCTGGTTTAGCAGTTGCTTTTTTGGTTTTGGTGTGTCCCCCCCCACCCCCGCAGTGGTCTACATGCTGTGGGGCATACATATAGCATAGAAGAAGGGATACTATAAAAACAAACTGAGACCTGGAATGCTTTTAAGAATAAAAATTAAAAAGAGAAACCCCACAAAGCCTGTTCTTATTCATTGCTGTCAAGGTAGCAGAGGCTACCCAACTTCTTTTCTAGTTCTGGTCCCATAGGTAGTCCTGAAAATTTGACTGAAGAAAATACGAACTAGCTAACGGTTTTCTCCTGCTAAGTGTGATATAGATAACAATATGATACTGTAACTTTCTCTCATGTTATCTCCAATTGTGTAATTTTTTTCTGCAGCACTGTATTTTTTTTTACAGACCCTTTTTATGCAGCTACCAAATACAAGAGTATATTACAGCTGTATCAAATGTTTCAGCCAACCTTAACAAAAGCAGATAAGGCTTAAATACCACTGCCTAGAAACTTTTTTCCATCTTGTACATGAGTGTGTAGCTTTCCTTAAGGTCAGAGTAGATCGCTCTTACTGTTTTGGGTGCTCTTGTTCCAATACCGTAGTTCATATTTGGAACAGCAGGTGAAGAACTAGTTATTTGGAAGGCCTGTGCGAATTGTGACTGTTCAGTCCTTAATAAATTATAAAGTTGGAATATTTTGAGAAATGTTACAGAAGTTCCGAGTACTGGTTGAGAAACACCAATTGTGAGCTAACTTTATGTGAAAATGACCTTTATGTGAAAATTGGATGACTAACAAGCTAAATAAAACTGTTTGTTATTCTTAAGTTCTAGCATAAAGAACCAAGTGTAGACGTGCTTTCTTAGACTTGTCTCAAAGCTGTACCCCCAGTGAGCTATTTTCTTGTGAATGACAGTCAAATGGGGAGGCAGAAAACTAAAGGAGCTATCTGCATAGGAGCAAGTAGAGAAGCTCAGGATAAACAGTTGGGACCCCTGCTCTTTTTGCATCTTTTTACTCTTAAGATCGTCCTTGAAATGTGTTGTTCCTTGCAGCAGTTACGACTTTTGCTGTAATACTGCTGGTTAAGAAGCTCTGCTCTTTGGTGAGGGTATGTGTCTGTTTTTAGAAGGTATTGAAGTGGTTCCAAAAAGAAAACTTGTTCCTAAAGCCTGGGTTTATCCCTTACAGGAATTTTATTTATCCTTTTGGGTTACTGGGCCAATTTTGTCTGAGTCTTTGAGACTCAGCCAGTGGATGTTCCATAGCTTAGAGCAATTGGGTTGGATTTTCAGTCCCTAGGTGTTGGCAAGATGGCCAGGTCTGAGCATTGCTGCCTGGTTACTGAAGAAGTCTAAAGCCTACTACTAGGCACTTCATTGGCATCTCCTATGTTTGATACAGGGGCATTCCACGTTCGACAAAAGAAGCAGTAGGATATTTTACCTAAATTAACATAAGGACAACACGGAAGCTAAAAGGAACGCTCTCCTCATGGGGACTCGGATGGGTATGTGAATTGGGGACAGGAGGTTGGCAGAAAAACCTGTGCGCTTCTGGGGAGTTCCTTTTACAGCCTGCAGCAGAGGACGATTAGGCTGTTGGTGCTCTGGATCTGTCACTTCTCTGGCCAGTCAGATTGGCAGCAAGGGACTGAAAGCTTCAGGCAGAGTGTTTTTGTCTTTTTCATCGATAGTTTCTGCTTTCGTTTAGAATATGGGAGAAACAGGTTGAAATGGTATTATAAAGGAAAGCCTTTATGTTCTTGCAGATCACTGATCAGATGATATATAGCACCTTGAACTACCAATGTAAACAAAGGTTTGACCACAGTATGCACTCTGCTTGAAATAATCTTGATGAGCCATCAGAAATGGTAGATCAATATGCCTTACCGTCCATTTAAAAGTACCAGGAAGGAACACAACTTTTTTTCCTGCAAAGCTGTAGGTATAATTGCTTTGCTTAATAAGTTAATGTAAAAACCTGAGTGCCACTCTACTTTTAGGTCGTTAGGTTATTGTTCATTTGTAGTTCAGATGCTCTTTGATCTTTAAGGCCTATGTGGATGTCATTAAATATCTGGGGGGGGAGGGGGAAATCTTCCTTTTACTTCTGTTACTAGTGGTGTTAGGTATTTGTGGGGAAGAGAAGGAAGTAACTAAGGTTGCTAGTTACTGTGATGCTCTCTTCTTCAGTAAATGCATAATTCTAAAAATGTTTCAACTGTGCAGGATATAAATGTATCAAGTTTTGATTGCTGATCTTTACATCAGCGTCTGCTGTGTAATAACATCGTGTTGAGAAGAAGGGTCTTGACTTGAGAGGAGAGTGTTTAGGTAGACTTGTGTTCCAAAACTAAAGCAATTAGACAAGTTCAGATTTTTTTCTATCCTGTCACTTAAGCATTCTGTCATATGCTTATCTTCAGTAGACAGAGGGAATAGAAGAATGTGTGTGTGTGTGAAGAAAAGGACTTGTGAAAGTTGAAATGTTGTTCTACTACAGTTTTGAGTTAGGCTGTTGCTTTTGCAGCTGCTTTAAAAGAATATTCTTAGCTGTAGGAAGCATCAGAGAGGTCGTTGCCTGGCTGCTGGGTTAAACATCCCCTTGTCTTAGTGAAGCAGAGTTTACAGTCTGATTAGTAAGAGGGAGAAAAAGCATCTGAAATCACCACTTGTTTTCTTGGGTGTTGTTTTTTGGGGGGAGGTGGAGAGTTGTTGTTCGGGTGTTTTGTGTGTGTTTCAGTTTTCACACACTTGTTGATTAGGGATTTAGGAAAGGTCAACCAGCGACAGCGAATTTCAGAAACACTGCTGAGAGGTTGATTTAGAAATGCTTCTTGACTATTTCAGTATTATTTGTATGAATCTCACACATTTGTGATCTAAACACTTAGCTCTTCTCTCAGTAGTAAGGGCAGCAGCTAGGAAATCAGTAGGATTTACGTGCTGACCACGTTAAATGTCTTCTCTGTTTGGGGGAGTTAGGGAGGAGGGACCAAAACGCAAACACCCAACTTTCCAGGCTGTTTTGGTTTAGATTGTCCTTGCTATCACGAGATCAGTTACTGGACAGGTTTTTCCTGAGCAGGTTGTTTTAAGCTAGGTTCTGTGATGTACGCTTAGGGAGACTGGCTGCTGTAGTTTCCATCATGATGACTTAACTGTACATATAGCGTGGCAAACTGTGGCAGCCTGTGTTGGCGTGCAGAGCCTTGAGGTGATGGTAGTGTTGAACTGCTCTTAGAGGAACAATTAAAAAAAAGAGAGAATTATAATTTGCTGGTAGGTAGTGAACAGTGTGTATATGATAATACTACTTTTGCCATAGGAGCTGAACAGAGTGATAAAAATAGGTACATCACAACTACAATAAGTGGTTTCACAGAACTTTAAAGATGGGGGGGGGAAATGACCTTTGTTTTGACTAGAGCAATGTCAGTTCTGTAGAGGTGAATTGAATTCTTTTTTCTTTGTAGAAAATGTTGTTATAAAATGTACGCACTTTTTTATCTAATGAGATTTTACTGAATTGACAAATGCAGCCTGAAATAAATCCCATGCAGTAATGAATCTTGCTATTTGTTCCTGTTTAAAAAAAACCAAACAACTATTTAGACATATTTTTAAGTAATAAAGGCCAAACACAAATCCATTTGTAGTCTGTTCTACATATAGGTTACTGTAACTAAGAATCTAATCCAGAGGCTCTGAAATTTCAGACATTATTTAGTGGGTACTACAGTAGCTATGTAGACACTTTTTTTTTTACTGTTTTCGTTGAAATACTCATTTAGATCCAAGAAAATTTAATGGAGCTATCCACTGAGTAGATTTTCCACATGAATCTAAATTACTTTATGCCTTACAAAATCAAATCCTGTAATGCCCTTCTGTTTTCTGTCCTGTCACCTGGACTAACAAGGTTACCTAATCTACATGGACAAACCATGTTGGTATCTGTAGCAACCCTAGGGTCAAAAAGGAGATATTTTGTGTGGAATGCCCCTAAGCAATAAAATTCAATATTGCTGCAAACATGGATTAGTCTTAATTCTGACAACTGATAAAGCAAGTCCTGTCATAATTGTTAAAGTCTGTGGATCTTGTTCTTTTAAAAAAAAAAAAAACAACAAAAAAAACCCACACAAAAACAAACCTATAATTGCTACTAGTTCCTAAACTGTTCAGAGATTTATCAGGTTACTCAGTAGGAGCTGGCTTGAATTATTTCACAGTAAACACCTGTCTCTAGTTTACCTTTTGACTGTACATGTAAGTAGATTTGGGTGGAACTTAGAATAAACATTTTTAAGGTATTTGTTCAGTGTCACATTACTAGTTCTGAAGGTTCTCAGTGTCTGTTTTGGTTTTTTTTGCAGATGATACAGCTCCAGAGGAAAGAGATTTGTCTTCATGACTCGCTTTACAGTATCTGAATAGCAAAAGCACAATGGACACTTTTTAGAGTTTTACAGAAATCAAAAATCATCTAGGAACAAGAACGTTGGACTTCGAGGAGTAACAGAATTTAGAGAGCCCAGAAATTGGTCACTGATAAACCCGATTTGGCCATACAGCTTGGGAATGAATACCATTGAGACAGCAAAGCTTGATGAGCATATGGAGGGTCAAACGAATGATGCTTCTAATGGCTTCTCCCGACCTACTCTCTCAGTCAGTGAAGAGAACAAAAATGGCACTAGCAAACCAAAGGGCTTGTCTAATGGCTTGCGGAAAACAACAAAGAAATATCCTGATTACATCCAGATTGCTATGCCTGCTGAGTCTAGGAACAAATTTCCTCTGGAATGGTGGAAAACAGGCATTGCCTTTGTCTATGCTCTCTTCAACTTGATTCTAACAACTGTCATGATCACTGTGGTCCATGAGAGAGTACCTCCAAAGGAGCTAAGCCCTCCCTTGCCTGACAAATTTTTTGATTACATTGATCGTGTGAAATGGGCTTTTTCTGTATCAGAAATAAATGGAATGATACTAGTTGGATTATGGATATTCCAGTGGTTGTTTCTAAGATACAAGTAAGTAGCTGTATTTTTTTTTTTTCCCTCCGCTATATGTTTTCAAAATGTTCGTTTCCCTCATTCACTTTGGGTAGAAGAAATCTTATGGTAGCACCTGTAGCAATATTGTAGAATAGGGCAGGCAGGAGAATGACAAAGGGATGACCTCTTTAGAAAACATTCCAGTGTCCATGCTGGATACAGAAACACAGGTTTCTCCTGATTATTGAATAATATTTTTTTTAAATCTGAATTTGACACCTGTGGTGTACTACTCAAATTTATTCTGGGACTGGGCTTTTCAAAGTGTGTTCACTGACATGGTGATGTTTAAACAGAGGAAATCATGATGATGTAAAAAAATCTCATCCAAATTTGAGGAGAAACCCACTGTCCTCTACAGCTAGACTAGAAGCTTTTTCCTTTGTCTTCATTTGTTTAAACTACACATATTTAAGTCAAGTACGTGGTTATAATATGGGACTAAAAAGAGAAGGTCACTGAGTTGAGGAAGACTATGCCTGATGACACAGTTAAGTTAGACTGAGGCCACGTTAAATTGGTTAGATAGCTTTGGTGGGAGCTTTGTGGTAGCTATGTACTATTATGAGCTAGCAAGACTAAAACCTGAAGAAAGACTTTTTAGTATTTGATTTAGAGAATTGTGTGGTGAAGAGCAGGGGCTGGAGCTGCTCTTTAAGTCTAGGGATTCAGCTACATAATAAAGCTAGAGCTCCATAACTGTTATACGTATACCCTGCATGTGAACTTTGTACTCAATCTTTTTCCCCCTTTCCCTTACTTTCAGATCAATAGTGGGACGCAGGTTTTTTTTTATAATAGGAACTTTGTATCTGTACCGCTGTATTACTATGTACGTTACCACCTTACCTGTGCCTGGAATGCATTTTCAGTGTGCGCCAAAGGTAAGAAAGAGCCTTTGCTCCCTAATTCTTGCCTTAAGTCTCTGCCTGAGTCCTTATGACTCATTAGAGCAAATAGAGGATAATGTTCCAGGTATGATTAAATAAGACAAATTACTTTCAGCTGATGTCTTCAGAAACATAGATAGCGATAAACCAAGTTTTAAAGTTGTGTGATACAGAAAGAGCCTCCAGCCATTGCTGCAGTTAAGTTGCTTTAAAGGAGAGTACCTATGTTGAAATAGTGCTGCTACCAATTGGTAAACTTGCTTCTGAGGCTCAAGCTAATCACTCTAATAGTGCAGCAATATTTTTTTGTACATGGTGGGATACCTAAGGTCAATATTGTAATTCATAGGGTCATACACAAGCTTGTGTTGCAGTATCCTTTTAAAAACCCACAATGTTATCATGTGCTTTGTCCTGTTTCTCACACTATTTTGTCAAGAGCTGTTGCAACACCTGAAGTCAGCTGCCTGTCCCTGCTTCCAGCCTGCAAAATTCTTTCACATTGGGACAACTTAGGAACATAGTGGATGAACTACTTTTCTTATGATTCAGTATCTATTTGAAAAAGCTTTATTTACGTACCATTATTGTAAAGACTCAACTGTTTTGTTCTAGTAGCTTGGGGAATGACTTTGTGTATTGAGGAACGGGAAGGGGTAAGCAAAGGAAACCTTAAATGTCTCTGCTGAAATGCATTTTGCTAGCATTAAAACAGGATGATTTACTTGAATTCTGGAAAAACTTGATAGTTCTTCTGGATTTTTTTTTTTCCTATGTGAATATTTTTCTGATTATGAAAAACTCAGTTATCCCTTTATCTTGTTTTGTTTTGCTTTTTCCCCCAGAGTTAATCTTTAAACAGCTAGGTGAAACTAAGTGTTTGCCTAGTATCTATGAGAAATCAAAAGCAGATCCTAATGCACGTTTAAAAAAATAAATCCTCTAATTCTGAGTAAGTCCTGACTGAGTTTGTAACCACATCTAGAATTAAGTGAGTTTGAGGTTTTCATCCTGAACAGAATAGCAGAAGCAGTATGCAAGGTTGTACTGTATTGGAACCGGTTTTGAATGGGTTTTATCCATTCTGTCAATGGCTATCATGAGATACCTGACCTTACAAATTCTTAACATTTACCTTTCCAGTATATTCTGCATCTCATTCTGATACAATGCATATTTTAAAATAGCCTGGGAAAGCATAGACAGAATGCCAGTGTTATCAAGCTGATCTTTAGCACCTGTCAACTTTGATGTGCGTGCTTATTTGTTTAAGAATATGTGAAAAAAGCCAAAGAAAACAAAGATAATTTGTGTCCTTTTTCTCCCTGTCTCCCTGAATTCACGTATGTTTGGGCAAGAAGTTTACTCAAGTCACTTACGGTGTATCTTAATTTTTTTTTTTGTACTTGTTTTCCTGGTGTTCTAGTTGAATGGAGATTCTCAGGCAAAGGTTCAGAGGATCCTGCGACTGATTTCTGGTGGTGGTCTGTCCATAACTGGATCACACATCCTATGCGGAGACTTCCTGTTTAGTGGTCACACTGTGGTATTAACACTGATCTACCTGTTCATCAAAGAGTGTAAGTGATGGTATTTCAATGCGCTTTTCTTGTTCAAATCTGCTGTACTGAGAAAACACATGATAAAAGCGCATATAAATACTGCGGCCCTCCAAAAGTTACTGCTCAGCTGTACGCAGACTGTATGGGTTTGAAATACAAAATATGACTTTGCTGAGTGAAAACAGAATGCAGGTGTAGTAAAAGTGGTATGGCCTTTAATTAGGGGCTTATCTGACTAGACATGTCTCTTCTGTCTTTATATGGAGTGTTTACTGGGTGATTGAAGCAAGCTAGCTTTTCATTATTCGTTGACAGGTTATTCAAATTTTGGGTAAAAAATACTGTAGTTAATTATGCAGATTGGCTCTGTGCGGGTTGGCTGATACACCTTAGATGTTAAGGAATTTTTGTGGCTTGAGCACAGCGCCATTGCACGCTTGTACTACATCCAGAAGCAACGTTATTTCTTTTAAGTGTGCTGTACATAATTTACTCCAAACAATGGGAAGTTGATTCATGCTCCTTGGATGTCTTCTGCTAGTGTCCTACTTATGCCTCTTAAAGTTGATAAGAATTTGTCAAGCACACAGAAGATGTAGTTGGGGCTATGGTTTCCCCCTTTGCTTTACATTGCTATGGGGCATGGGAGGAAAATCTGTCTGTGCTGCACACACAGCATTGCTTGAAGCTTTGGAGAACTGAGCACCAACTTCTAAATCTGATATAGGGTAAGCAATGCTTCTACCCTGGCAACTTGGCCGCTCACGAATGTGTAGTGGGGAAGTTCCCTTTCCAGTTCACATGTTTGGAATTGGAATCTTCTCTCCTACTGTTGTGTCCCAAACTATGCAAATGCTAGCTTGGCTGCCGGGAATGTGTAATTCTCACTGAAACAAAAATAAGACTAGCCAGCATCACTTGAATGCCTTCCTTTTATTAAAATGTTGAGGGAAGGAAGTGTTGCAGTGCTACATTCTGCCTTAAACAAAAAAAAAAAAAAAAAAAATGCCTGTTTAATAGACAGACTTCAAATCTGTGGATGCGAGACACTCTTCTTCAAACAGTGATTTAAGATGCTGATTATAGTCTGCTGTTTCTTAGGCCTAGGTCCTTCATGTAAAGTGAACGTTACTGGGGGAATGGCATGTGTAACTCATCAAAATTACCAGAACAGTATTAAGAAAATAGTCTAATAGTAGATTTGTTGTTTGCCTTGTTTTGTGTATGTTATTGCAGCTTAATGCTGGTCACATACTCTTTCGTATCTTTAGTACCGGGAAAGATGTAGATAACCCAGTACTTTCAGGGCTGGTATAACTCATGTACTTTCATCATAAGGGGCTGGAGGAATTGTATCCTACAAATTCTTGTAATAAGCCCTTTGACTGCTGCCTAATTGTTAGGCATATATTTCAGTGGAGTTGTGCTTTATAAATGAGAAATGCATAGCTTTCCTTTTTCTGCCTCCCATATAATTAGCAAAATGTTATCTGAGGAAGGGCTTAAGCCGTATAATTGCTCTGAATCAGAGGTTGCTTATGGTGTTCTTTTCTGTTCTTTTGGTGCCACATCTTCAGTACAAGATGCATTCTGAGGTTTTTTTGGTTTGTGGGTTTGTTTTTTTTTATTTCTGGCTTAGTGGATTTTTGCTCTGCTCTTGTATTCCTTTCATCGTTTGCTGCTTCTTCACTTCTTCCCCTGCACTCCAGCGTTTTTGGCCCAGAATAGTTATTTACATTTTTAGCCTTGGTATGTCTGTCTTGCTTGGGGCTGTTTCCATCAACTTCTTGAGATGACTTGGCTCCTTTTTTTTTTAATCAGGAGATACAGATTTGCCTGCAATGTTTTGGGGAGAGTTAAGAGAATTTACTGTTTTGACACTTGCACCAAAATTTAAGTCCTCCTACAGTAACTATTTTGCACAGGCGCCTCAAACTACTACTGGGTAGGCTCGTTGAGATCAGTAACTCTTCTGCCAGTATTGTGTGAAAGTAAAGGCTGACCATTGCCCCACAAGGCAAGGGGTGCCAAAACCTCCCACTGTGAGTCAAATGAAGCCTGGAGGCCTGTTAGCCTGTCAGAAGTTATGAATGGTCATTGTGACACCCAAGGCATTTTTTCAATGGGGAAAGAAGGGCAGGGGATCTTTTCCACTGAAGTGGCTTAAATGCATTTTGAAGAATAGCTTCACTCCCATTTGTTAATCTTTAATGAAAGGGTATAAATTCACATACTGTACTTCCCTGTACAGTGTATTCTGTTTTACAGAACAGAGGTTTCATGCAGAGTAGTTAAAACCTAGGAATTAAAATAAGAGTGTATTTTCCTGTTTAATCTGTGATCTCTGCTCAGGTTGTATCAATTCTAGACGTTTTACCTGAGTGTAAGTTTACTTGAGCATAGACTGTAAAAACAGCCCATGTAAAATAATCAAAGTGTATGTCTTGCCTCAATTCTGTCTCTTCCCTTGCACCCCATACCCTAGAAGTGATTTAACTGGAAAATTTACTTAATTTGACTAGAAAATGGGTGATGGTGCTGTCTGTCTCTAACTGCAAGCTCATCTTGGGTTCATTTTACAAAGTAAGAACACCTCAGTAAGTTTGCATAATTCTTTAGTCTTGTTTTCTGTGTCAAAAGAGGGTTCTTGTACCAGTGTGGTATAGATGAGTTACGTTTTAAAATTCAGTAGCCTTAATTAAATAATCTTTTTTATCTTCCCCCTTCCTTTTGTGGATTGCTATAATAATGTATATGGCTTTTTCTGTGTGTTTTTGGTTTTTGTTTTCTTTCCCATCACCTCCCTATTTCACAGATTCACCACGTCATTTCTGGTGGTATCACTTAATCTGCTGGCTAATGAGTGCTGCTGGCATAATTTGTATCCTTGTTGCTCATGAACACTATACCATAGACGTCATCATTGCTTACTATATCACCACACGGCTTTTCTGGTGGTACCACTCAATGGCTAATGAAAAGGTGAGTGGCAAATACCTTTAGAATCAACGTATAGCCTGCATTTGTTAATACCCCTCAAATGGCAAAATTAGTTCTTAATTTCAAAATAAAAATAGACATTCCATATTGAAGTTTAAACAAATTGGACAAGGAGTTTCACTTTACTGTGGTTTAAGTAAATATTTAATGGATTAAGATGTTCTTTTTTGATCTGTGCCTGTTATTAAGTTATTTCAAAATTTTATTTTTTATAAAGTTATTTTTGAAATTCCTGATATTTTGGCTTAAAAACATTTTTTTGAACTTCAAGTTTTTATTGCTGTAGTGGATGTATAGAATAGCCTTTATTTGTCCAAGCTTATGAATAAACAGTAGTTTAGTAATAAAATTTCTGACCAACCTAAATTACCTAGACCATACTAAAATTCTAGTGACAGTTCTGTAAATGTCACTAGAAGTATGTTGTTCAAAAGGTATCTGCTGCAGTTGTTTCAAGAACCCTTTCAAGTAGGGGCATAGCTCTCAAGCCATTTTAATCTACTTTTCAACTGTTAGTCATCAATGGAAACATGACATGCCTGGAAGGACTCACATTCAAAAAGACCTGAGTGCTTTGTCTCACTAAATTTTGTACAGCAACAAAGCATCCCTTTGTGTTAAAGATGCTCAGTTTGTAGTATGCATTTGGACTATGATGTATATGCTATCTCAATACTCTTTTTTTTTCTAGGCTAAACGCACCTTGTCTTTGCAGAAATGCATGCAAATAGATTGCATTTTTGTAGTTGTCTTGACTCAACATAATTGATTATAATGCTTTAAACTGATTGTCTGTTTCCTTTTCCTCTTTACCTTCTTGTGCCAATATAGACTTTAAAGGTCTCCTCGCAGACGAATTTTCTCTCTCGAGCATGGTGGTATCCAATATTTTATTTCTTTGAGAAGAATGTGCAAGGCTCTGTTCCTTGCAGCTTTTCCTGGCCGATATCTTGGCCTCCCAGCTGCTTCAAATCTTCGTGCAAAAAGTATTCACGGGTTCAGAAGACAGGAGAGGACAATGAAAAATCTACCTGAAGAAAAGAAGGAAAGCATCTGCTCTGGTTTTTTTGTGTTTTTTTGTTTTGTTTGGTTTTTTGTTTTGTTTTTTTTTTTTTACCAAAAGATTAATGCTGTAACCAAAGTTCTTAAGAGGACTACACTGTAACTGAAGAAGTGGACCAAGCTTCTGTGCAATTGATTGGAAAGACAATTGTAGACACACATATTGCCATTTCATATGTTTTCCTATCATCAGGCTGTACAGACCTATTCTACTCTTCAGTGCTAATAGAATGCACCACTGATGGGATTTTTTTATTAAAGAAAAAAAATGGAGCAGGACTTTGCTTTACTAATGAGATAGAGGTGCCAAAGACCACATTAACACTTTCATTACTAACTATCACTCATCCACAGAAGCACCCAAAAATCTCATCTTCAGAGTTCTGGAGTGCATAAGGGCAAAAACATGCTAAAATGTAAAGGCACGATATCGGCGTATTGAGGTATATAAAAAAAAAAAAATAACACAATTGTGGGAAGTAGTTTGTTGCATTTTTCTTGCTAATGAAGGTAAGGCCTTTGCGTGACTGGTACAGCTGGAAGCAAGTCTTGACTTTTTTACGGTCTGTGGGTATGAATATCTCATGACCCTAAAATACTACTTACCGCCGTTATCTCTCATATATTCTACTATATACCAATTTTTACATTTTTACTAGTAATTTTATATTTAAACTGTTGTGCTACCTGATGACTTTGCAAATTAGGAATAGCTGCTAACATCAGAGCTCAAGGAGCCTAAAATTTTATTTTTAAAGAAGGACACAGTTTCAAAGTCTAAATCTTTAACTGCAGTTTAGCCTTGTGTATATAGCTATGCAGTGCCTATTGGTGTATGTACATGCATATACACACAAAAGCACACACTGCTGTGTAGTTAAACACGCATTAAACAAAACTACTTACTGGAATTTTTGATCATACAGTTCTTAATTCAGGCAAAAGTCCTACAGTTCTCACCTGCTTGAGGAATGCAAGGCCAGGTCCAAAATGGGGCTAGGTTTAAAATAAACTTTTTAATTTTAGTAGCTATCTCTTGCTGAAACTATGTAGCAAGTTTGCTTGGGAGCCATAATTCTGCATTGAATTTCTTTTTTTATCTATTGGCATGTTTCTGTGACTTAACTTAAAAAAAAAAAAAAAGTGCCAAGGTGAATACCTACAACAGTAGCATTTCTTCAATTATTACCTAAAACCATTTCACATTAAATGACGCTCTGGTAGAACTTACATGCAGATTACTTTTTTTTCCCCAGGGTTTCAGTCCAACTGAAATGGCTGTTTAAGCAAGTTGGCTGAGAATGTGGGAAATTACCATGGCAAACACTTAACAAAACCACAGATTAACAGCTACCTGGTTCTTGTTGGTTTTTATTGTTTTGTATTGTTGGGAAAGCAAAGTAGAAAATTAGCATACCATGTTTAACCATTTATGTTCTGTATTAATTTCTGCAGTTAACTCAATTTTATTTTCAAATCTTCAGTAAAACCTGATAGCAAAGATAAAACTACATTAAGTGTTGAAGTGATACTAATATAAAGGAAATGCTGCTTATTTTAAGAATGTCTTGAACGGAGTGACAAGTGTGAACACAGTTTAAATAATGAAAACTTGTTTTTTAAAAAGTCCGGTATAAAATGCAATACAGACTATTCAAATACGATTTTTTTTTTAGTTAAGGGGATCAATTGCTATGAGTTGTACATGAGAATATTATTAATGTGCATTTCAAATATTTTTGTGCATTATCAAAGTAATACAATAAACAATGTTCCTTACAATACATCCTTGGTAAAACTTAGCTAAGAAAGAAATTCTGCTGATGTTTGGTTTTGTTATTTAAAATAAGCTTCTTAAAATCTTATAACATGGCCCTGGAAGTTGTGTGTGTATGGGCATACCTATGTTTTCATTTGCTTTCTCCTGGCAGACCTTGAGCAGCTAAAAAGCCAGTATCAAAACATTTATAAGAAAGTCCTTTTTCTGTATCATATAAATGAATCTGTTCAATGTCAGTCTGTAAATCTCCCAAGGTCCTTGTTATATCAATACTACTTCGTAGAGCATAATATTTTTTTTTTTAAGCTGAATTCTAAGCTTTGTGATATCTTAAATACTACAAGTGGCTTAACATGACTGTAATACTATCTTTTAGAAATTGTGAATGAATTTCATTAGTGGTAACCATGCCTTGAAAATAACATGATGAAAAGCATTCCAGTAAGGAGCTTAAACAGTGGTTTTCATCTGGTGGCTGAATAATAGTCTTTGATAGTCTAGATAGCTAATTGTCTGCATAACCACCACCATGTCTCAGTGGGATTTCTGTAATATATCTGCAAAGTAGAATTTCTTCATGCAGGATGAGGTGTTCGGCTTTTTTACACTTATTCCTCTTTCCGGAAGGAAAAAATATGAAAGTGATGAAATAGAACTAAGTAAAGATTACGCTTTTGTTGGGCAGTGTGAGCTTTCATTCTACTGAATTTGATAAACTTCTATTGTAATACAAAAGGAAAGTTTAAATGGCAGCCCTAGCTCAAAATACTTGATTCCTGTTCTGAGTCGGCCCTCCCTTAAGTGCTTAAATTTTCTCCATTGTATCAAAGCCCTCAAAATGGGGGGGGTGTATGTGTGTGTGTTTAATTAGCAGAAAACCCTACTTCTCTGATCTTAACCGCTTTAAATTGCTTTTGCAAACTTGGGTGGTACAGATGTATTTGAAGACTCCTTAGGCCTATATGTAAGGTGATGAAATGGGGTAAGTAATGGAATATGCTAGTGCTTACTGCTGTAGTAGTTAATTCAATACAAACCACAGCTGGTACCTAAAAATTATTACTTTTAAGAACTGAGTGATCATTGTATATAGATACTATGAAACTGAAAACATGGTTTCATCCTAAGAAGAAAAAGGGTTGCAGTGGGTAAAAAGAACAGGAGAAACTTAGACTTCACCTAATGTACTGATCACTTGATTGTAGGCTTATTTGGGCTGTATATGCCCAATGTTTTGCAGTATGTCATTGTAATTTTTTCCTGGAGTTAAAATAATCTTTCTTACAGAAGACACATGAGCTGCACCTGTACTGTGACGATAAATAAAATGCTCCTTCTCTCTACTGAAGAGCATTTACATGTTGAACTTCTCAGACGCTTAAAAAAAAAAGGCACTACACTTGTACACCTGGCGTATCAGTACAACTCAGATACTGTTGGGTGTTTTGTTTTTATGAAACAAGCTTTCTTAAATGCCTAGCCTAAATTTAAACCTGGATTTAAAAGGTTAACTTGAGCATTTAAAGAAATGTGCTTCTATGCGGTCATGCTACAGATGCTTAATTCCAATGCCAGAAATGATTAACATATACCTGGAGCCACTGTAAATTGACATTTTTATGGTACATGCTTAGCACTCCCATGTGGATGTAAATGGTATTAAATGTTAATTATTCTTCACTGCTGTTTTCTTGGAAAGATAGCTACCGGTGGGGTAGTAGCAACATTTAGCACACCTCTTTTTGCTATGAACTCTAGTATGGGATTTGCTTCCCTCCTTAAAAAAAAAAAAAAAGGGTGGGAGAGAAGGAAGGAAAAAAACCAACCAAGACTGTATTTATATGTTCAGATAGCTACCTTCATGTAATAGAGAAATAAAGCTCAGTAACAGAGACAGAACTGGGAAGTATTTTAAGAGATGAGAGAGAATTCTCTTAATCGGATTATTGCAAATCCACTTATCTGTATCTTAAATCAGAATCTGTTCAAACTCTGGCCTTCTCCCATCAGTAGTATCTGGCTAGACAATTTATCCTAAAGCTGTTTGGTACTAACCCAAATTTTTTTTTTTCTCATTTCGGTAGATATGAAGTATGATTTACAGTTCTAGAGACCAGATCCATTAACTTCAGTGCAAAGTGAAGTCTTTCCATTTACTTTAAATGAACTTTCCCAGAGCTTTTTTTTTTTTAAGTTAAAAAAAAAAAAAAAAAATTAAAGATTCATGGGGTAATTTTAAAAACATGTCCAATCTATTGGATGTACTGGAACCGTTTTTCCTTACTGGCAGACTTAACAGCTCTGTTGTCATCTTTATTTTTATAATACATGTGTTTTAGACTTACCCAGAAGTCTTCCATAGGCACACAAAATTAGAGTGATACTGTAAGATTGAACACTTCTGAATTTAAGTGTTCTGTACCAGGCATTGTAAAATCAATGTCTTAAACTCAGTTACTGAAAAAGGGGTCTTAAAAATAAATACTTCTGTTGGACACCATTCAAATGAGTGGTGCTGCTTAAGCGCACGTGAGGAAATATCCTAGTGTGCCACTGGAGTAATTTTGGTTATCAGTTAGCCTTCATATGCTACTTTATGATGCTTCCCAGTCTCTGGAAAAAAAAAATTTTGCTGAGAAACTGAGAACGAAGACAAAGGCTTTTGTTCTAGTATTTACAAGAAAAAGGAAGGAAGATGAAAACATTGAAGTAGATGGTGATCATATATTGCTTTTTACATGAAATTGAGGTACAACTACACCCACCTTCTAAGTAATGTAGAATTAAGCTGTTTGTGTAATAGTGCTGCAAAAAAACCTGTAAGGAAACAGGCAGTGTTAAGCACTTCATTCTACAATACAGATGCATCTGTGGACGGTGCTGGTTCTCATCCATAACTTACAATATAAAAATAAAACCCAACTCAGTGAGAGATGCTTGGAGATTGTAAAATATTTAAATATGGTTAGCAAATTTGCATAAGCTGTTCCTCCAAGCTGTCACTAATAGTTTCTAAAACAAGAAGTCCTGCAATGCTTAAAACATACTCAAGCTTTTTCTAGTTGGCTCAAGTTTCCATGGATTATAACCATTTGATTAAGTCTTATTAACCTAGAAAGCAGCACATAAGAACTCCAGGCTAGGTACAGATAACTTAAATATTGTAGGAAAAAGTTCTAGTTCTGAACTCATC